AATTCTTAACTTCATGCAAGATAATTATTAAAAACATACTTAATATTTACATACTCCATGTAAGTTTAATCTAGCATATTGATTATGCTTTGATTCAAAACAAGATATTAAATTTCCTACCGACTATTGCTTGCCGATTTTATTAAAGCGCAACCCAATTTCACCACTTGATCTCAACTTCATCCCACAGTGTCTTCTTCTTTTTTTTCTAGTTACTCCTCACCAAGTTAGTCTGCCCTTTGTGCTCTCCTATTCATTTTGTTTTTTTTTTTTTTTTTTTTTTTTTTATGTTTCCTACAAGAATGGCACATCCTTTCCTCATTTACGCATGGCACCCTCATAATTAAGGAGAGCAACGTGGCCACCCTCAAAGACATCCAAATATTTTCCTAAGCCATCACATGCTTCCTTATCTCCAGCACACACACAAGATACGGACATCAAACCCATTACTTGCTTTGCTCACACACACACACACACACGTGTTATTGCCATGCACCAAGTAATGTCCAAGTAGTTTCTAGTTGGCCCACAAAAGAAAACTTCTATATATGTTTTTGTTTGTATACATCTAGCTATATATATATATATATATATATATATATATATATACACACACACACAACTTAAAAGAACTACACAATAACCCACCAAAAAGGAAAAACCTCACCAACCGCCATCCATCCATCTTTTGGAGTTAAAATCAAATACTAATTCATGTTTTATTATTTCTACTTCTCACCCATTATTTATAATATAATCTAAACATATATTTTAACCCCCAATAATATTTACTTCGTATCTAATCGAAATTTACATGTTTTATACAAACTTATACCCCATTTCATGCATGACTCGCATAAAAATATCAAGTAATTACACTTACCTCCCAAATTTTTTTTTCTATTGGAAATTCTAATTTTCCTTAAAATATTATACATTTTCTCCATTATACCCATACATTCAATTAAATGCAATGCAATGCATGTCAAGGTTTCACATATTATAAGTAGATTAAATATTGTATTGTGATATTATTTATTTAATCTGGTCTAATACTTTATTTTATAGATAAATTGATTTTGTATTAATTTCAAAAACATATATATTAAGGATATAAAAATAAATATCATACATTTAACCCACATAACTAACTTTCATACACCATTTTTCTCCAAATTTTAGAAAAATAGATTTTGGTACAATAGAAGAAAGGTTAATCACTCCACTATTCCGTCATTCTCATTTTCCATCCTGGTCAAAACATCACGATATTTTATCTCTTGTCATTTTTTTCCGTTCACAAATCTTGTTATTTTTTTAGGAAATTCAACTCTAGCATACCCTAATTGTAATTTTCGTGTTTCAATCTAGTGACGAATGTGAGGTTTGGGATACAAAGTCAGCCTAGTATCTCAATATCATCTCTTTCCATTTAAAAAGGAGAATGCTCTTATTTAATAAAGTAGAATTTGAGGGGTAAATTGATAGATTCTTTTGGATACATTACAATTTACAATTATCAAGGGATACTAAATGAACCCATTCCATTCCGTCCACTATAATGGTTTGCAAACATTAACTTTTTTCTACCTGTTACGATTAATCACTATTATAAGTATTCTAAAAAATGAGACAAAGAACAATACAATTTTAGGGGTTTGAAGTTGAATTTTTTTGGGTACGAAACAAAAGTTAGAAAAATGTAAAGAAAAAGTCAGAGTTAAAAATTATTGGAACCGTTTGGAATATTTTTGAAAAAAACAACTTTTTCTTTAGAGCTCTTGCATAAGCCCATATTTCATTTTTTCCTTAGTACTAATAAAAACTGTTTTTACCCAAAAAAAACTAATAAAAAAGCCGCCTAATAAGTCTGGATCCAAACAGACCAGACTTTTTTTCCTCTAAAACTTAAAAAACACTGACCTTATTAACTCGTGTCTTTAAAAGCAAGAATTGACCTTATAAACTCCTTGTTGGATCAAAGGTACCTTCATAAATGGCGTAACACTGATTTTTCAAGTGTCAATAACAACAATTTTGTCAAAGAGTGATATTATTTAAACTCATTTTGAAAATATAAACCGTTATCCTTTTTTTATCAGCAGCAGATTTCAATATTGAATGAGATTTGTTTGTCAATTGGATAACAACATTAGATTAAGTTAATAAATTAAGTTTATAAAAAAAGATAAATAACAACAGAGAAAAATGTACTTACCCAAAAAGGAAAAAAAAATTCAACAGAGAAAATGTAAATAGTTGGGTGTATGAATGCTTTATACAAAACTAGTTTTGACAATTCTAGATAATAACCAAAAAATACAAATTCACATAAAAGTAGTGAATTTGTATATAGTTTTACTAGATTCAAAATGATAAACATGTCAAAATAAATAGTTGACACAAACTTTGTTGAATAAGAGCATAATTAACTAAACACTGCTTATACATCTGATGAACACAGCATAATAGAAGTCCGAGTATATATAATTTTAAATAAATTGGATATAAGTTGAATAAATTTTGACACGACACAACTCCGACGTGACAATAAACAAATTCGATGCGACCCATCATATGTGAAACACATCAATGTGAAATTGTTTTTGGAAGAGACTACAACTATGTTATTCACACCTTACCAATTCGAGGCCATATCCCAATTGATTTCAACTGGGATATGAGAGAGAGAGAGAGAGAGTTCCAAGTCAGGCCGCAGACAAAGATGGCCCAGGCCATGGCCCAAAGAATGTAATGCTAAATTTCATTGTCCACGTGAAACCCACAGCCCAAAAATTGGCCTAACCCCTAAGATATCTGGGCTAGGTAGACTGGTCGGGGGGCACGACCATCCCAAAGTAGTACTTCTGGATCTTGCTTTCAATCCAAATATGACAGCATTCAGACCATACCTCAGGACTAAGTGGGTATATATACTTAGAGCACCTTTTCTATTCACTTCAACATGAGACAATGCCCAGAATTGCCGAAAGACGCTACCCATGGGCCGAACCAGACCATGTCATGTCCTGTAAAACTGTTGGTCCAGACCGGGACACAAGTTAAGGGCCCATGTGTAGGGTTGCCAAATAAGCCATGGCGTAATTCAGTTCTCACTTATAATAAAGTATTGCTACTATAAGTGGTTAATTTTTAGTAACAAAGTTTTTTAGCGGACTTAAGTTCAAATAAATCTTAAAAAGGGACTGACGTTTAAATTTTTCAAAATTAAATGCTAGTCCATGGTTAAGCACGAGAAATAATAAACTGTTTTTTTTAGCGGATTTAAGTTCAAATAAATCTTAAAAAGAGACCGACGTTTAAATTTTTCAAAATTAAATGCTAGTCCATGGTTAAGCACGAGAAATAATAAACTGCTGATGAACCAATTCACAATATGGTGCTAATATTATTCAAATCCAACCACAAGCCTGTTTTTTTTTTTTATGGGTTATTTTGGTGGTACTGATGAAGGTTATGATGTTGGACATTTAACACAAGATTACATTACAAATCAAAACTGTTGAAAATAGCATTGATCGAGCACTAATCTACTGATTTTGGGCGATAATATCAAAAAATCTATTAAGACCTCATTCGGAAAAGTTATCGATAATCTAAGCAAGATTGAAAAACATCTTTCAACCCATCGTTTTTAAGCAAAAAAAAAAACGATGTTTATGCCATTTTTTAAACACTTTTATATTTTCTCCCACTATTTGGGGTATTTATTTAATATTTTGTATTTGCGGGAGTTTCCTAGTAATTTAGAACTATTAGGGTTTAATATTTAAAACATATGTAAAATTGATTCCACACATTTTATTTTGTTTGAACAAACTTAGAGATGAATTCTCATTTCTGCCAATTGATTTTGGTAATTTTCGTGAATCAACAAGGTTTTTGACTACTTTAATCTAGTATTATTACAATAATCAACATATTATAATTTCTGTTATTTCTTCATAACATTGAAAAAATCTTAAAACATGTCCCATGTTGATCAAGTTCTGAGCACTGCGGGACTTCAATGAGAGGGGATCAGTGAAGGTGACAATTCGTCACACACACCCAGCGAGAGAGAGAGAGAGAGAGAGAGAGAGAGAGAGAGAGAGAGAGAGAGGTCCCTGATCATGAATTCAATGTATGCTGCACCAAACCCATGAGGATTCACCAGGCTACACCATAATGGATACAAAACTCTCCTGTCACTTTTGTAAATAGATCCAATCTGCAATGACAATAAATTGGACAAAACAAATCTGCCTTAGCTCTGGATATTCAAAATTCAAAGCCTATTTGACACTCAATCATTTCAGAAACCTTTATTATGAGAATGACCCAACAATGGCCAAATGTTTAATCTTCTGATAATTCAATTCAGCATCAAATTCATCTATCCCTCCCTGTAATACCAAACCCTCAAATAAACGACAGTAGATCTAGTGCGCTTGACAAGATCTCCTTCTTTAATTAATAGCTATATCAATACCAAACACAACAATTCCTACATTCTTATTCTCAACATTTAAGGCTATTGGCATATTCAACCATTTTCCTAGCTTGAATCTCGTTCAATTCATCAAAACGTGCAATCCCATCTCCAGCTAAGACTACTCGACTGGTCTCATCAACTTAAAATTCATGATTCTACTTTCTCATAGAGTTGTCTGTTCCATGTGATTCAAATACACGAGTCTAATTCGGGTGCTAACACTCTGTTTTCTTCATGAACCGAACGAAATTAAGCTTAAAATCATGGCCTATAGATCAAAAATTGAAAGAGAAAATGAAAAAAGAGAAGTTCCGGGACAAAATGCATGATTCGATTTGATGTTAAATAATCTCAAGTATTCAAGATGCCTGAACAAAAAATGAAATAATGCCCTCATTGACAAAATGTCCAGGAGCTGAACTAAATTTCTTTTAGTGGAAATTTAAAAAATTAATAGTTCACAACTACCTATTTAGGTTGCAACCTAAGGACACTCTGTCTTTCATAGTTTGCAAATTACAACAAAGCAAGGAAGGAGAGCTCTGGGATTGAGTAGATACAGTTCTTCAATGTTGGAGTAGACACCCACTTTGCCAGCCAATGAATCGAATCCTGCTTGACCCGCCATTTCGTGAATATTCTCCAATGGTCTATGTACCCTCCCAGCAATGACTCTGCATACTATCAATGCCTTCCTTAGAAAGGGATAATCATCATAAACTTCTACAGATTCAAATGCTCTTCCACTCGTGGACGTCGTAAAAACACCAACTCCACCATTGATTTCCTTCTTGGTGGAGAAACCATGCCTTAGAATTCGACAAACGCTGCATTTATCGGAAGTGCAGAGGCTAGAGGAACCATTCATGCCAAGGGAACATTCAACAGTAGTGCCATGGAACCTCAATAGTTCATTCCCATCGGCTAGGCAACGAGGATGCTTCTTGGCCAGTTTGCTGGCTTTGATCTTCACTATTTCTCTATGTTCTTCAAATTGAGCAAGGGTTTGTTGCATGTTATGTACCTTCAAAATCCTCTCAATCCTCCCACAATTGTTATCGTTCTTCGACAGCTTGCGTTTTGAAAATTAACTCTACAATCTTCCCAGAAGAATCTCCTTCAGCAAGTTCAGTAACTACAGGGGGAAGAAAAAAAACTCGTAAGATTTAGTCGAAAAACGCTGCATTTGGAGGAGTACTATGATAAATCTGAGAATTTGAACCGCTAAAAGCTTTAGAAACTAGAAAAATATCATTCAGACCAGAAATTTCTTGAAGATTTCATCGTCTTTTATTTCCCTGATGAAAAGGGTTCATTTATTTGGTGGATGTTCAGAAATCCAATTGAAAAAGCCACAGAAACTCGAACGACAACCATTCAGATCAGAAATATCTTGAAGTTCCCATCCCTTTTTATCTCTGTAATAAAAGGATTCAAATGTACGGAAATCCATAATCAATTTGTATGCAAAGTATCATCCCTGGCCTAATGTGTTGATCGAAAAATCGTGTACACAATATTTAGGCACTTGGAGGAGCAGTCAAGCAGAGACATTGA